GAGCGCGCGGGAGGGGGCGGGGCCGGGCCGGGCGCGCTGCGGCGGAGCGGGGGGGGGGCGGGGCCGCGGCCCCCCTGCTCCTGCGGGCGGCTCGGCCCCGCGGCAGCCGCAGCCCTCTCGGAGTGCTCCGTAGGCTTTACTAGGGCTTGTTTTGCGTTTTGCTGCGCTCTCGTGCATGTTTTTATTTAGAGTGATAGCAAGACCCTTGAGTTTAGGTTTAAGATTCCTGTTGCAGTCTCTTTGTTTCAGGGCCGAGGATTCGGGGGAAAAAAAAAAAAAAATCAATCCACAGCAAATATCCAAAGAGTTGGCAGGGTGGAAGATGAGCCTGCTAAAAGGCCAAATACTCTCACGCTCCCTCAGAATGGTGCTGTTACATGTGCGTGCAGGAGTGGATAATACGAGGCAAATGTACAGATCTATAAAACCTGACACAAGTCCAATATGTAGAACACATGTTTCACATTTTGGTTACATATGTTTTGGGTTTAGATTTGAACAAAAGACAGGTCAGCCAGTTGCTACCCTTCATTTTTTCATTGTAATGAACAGGAAGCTTGCCTGTCTACTCAAGAGTAACTGGTTTCCTACTCTTTCTTTGTAAGCTGTTTATTTTCTCTAGCTCACATCTGTTTTCATCCTTAAACTCATTTTATGCTAACAGAAGAAAAATCCAACTACCTAGTCATCAAGAAATCTTGAGTCACAGAAGTCATTGGTTGAAATAGGGCTGAAATACAAAGTATTTTCATTGTATCTAAAGAATAGCTGAGTTACAACTTTAATTTTTGACAGTTGTTTGCATTTGCAAAGCTAATATTTAGAGAACCTTTGGAACTGCAAGAATACTCTTATGAATACTTAGATTTCACAAAAGCTAATAAATCACTAGAAGCTTACTGGCGAAGCTTGTTAACAAACACCATCTCCAACTATTGTTATTTGAATACATTTTGTACTGCTGCTTCACTAATACATTTCCGTAATTTTCCATAGGACTCGGTAGGGACAGTAACAGTTCTTGTGTTACTCCATTCTGTGCTCTGTTTTTTTTTCTGTTCATGTGATCATCTTGACTTCCTGAGCATTGTGTCTTCCCACCACTGTGTATTTCACTGACGCCTTAATGCCTTTGAACAGTGGCACTTGTGCTCTGGTGCCTCTTCCTGCATGAGCTGAAGATACATCAGCTGTCCACTTATGTGCTAGGGGATACCAATACACTACTGTCTGTTGTCATACACATAGGCAGCAGAATATGATGTGTATCAGCCCCTCAGCTGGGTTGATGTATAAACAAAGACATTTAAGCTACTGGTGGATTCTGGCTTCTCCTAAATGACTGTGGTGTGTGAGGTGTAGGCACAAGTTCATACCTGGTAGTCCTGCTGAAGAGAAAGCAATTGCCCACAATAGAATAACATAGAAAGATTAACTAATTTTTTAGGAGCATAAAGCAGGATTCACTAAAGCGGGTAATTCATAGTCTTCTATTTAATTGCAAAAATTTTTATGTTATTTATTAAATCAGGGAGAACCATACTTTGAATTAGGAAGAGCTTGTGCAAACAGAAGGCAGCAGAACTGAGATGAGAACAGTCACTACCTAACTTAGAGCCAGTTTCTTGTTCATATGAGGTATGAATTGATTTCTGAAAGTATTGAGTGTTACTCTCAGGAAAAAAATGGTGTGACTTTCCTTTTTGATGTAAATAGCTTAATCCAAGTGGTAGTTTTATAGCCATGCAGACATTTTTGTGGAACTCACATGCTTTCTGAGCTGTGCCTTTTCAGTTTCCCTTCATTTCTTACAGCTCACTTCTGCTTTCATAGTCATCTTGCAGTCAAGTCAATAAATTCGTCTGCAGGGTCTCACCATGGTAAGACTGTATTTTCAGAGAAGGTTTGAGTCAGCACTGTCATAGGAGGTCCCCTGCCTTCCTCCTCATGTCAATGCAAGCATTTGAATAGCTGCACAAGAGACTTGATTTGGAAACTGAGCCAGGTAAAAGTGATCCCACTAAAAACTGTGGGTTAATTTTAGCTTAGATCAGGTCCTCCTCAGTCTACCTCATTATGTTTGGGTGTGGAAGCCTGTGCTTGCACAGAGAAGGAGGCAGTGCAGGGGCTGAGTTGGATCAGCAGGAATAAAAAGAGAACACTTCTTCCAGAAGTCTTGGCTTGTGGTAGCTGAATTTGCTGAAGTCTGCAAATCAGTTTAACCCTTACAGTAGATGAGACACACAAAGCCTGTTTCTGTATTTCCTGCATACCAACTTGTGTGTCAGTGTTTGTCTTTAGCAGTTATTTTATGTGTTGTTCATGCACATATGCATATACATGTATGATATATAAATTTTCTTATAGTTTACGCTCTTATTACCTGAAAATACTGCCATTCTACAATATCAATAATTGCAAAAGGAAACATCCTGGTTAGAGAGCACTATCACCCATTTTCCCTGGTACCTCCAAACACTGTATGTTCTCTCTCTGAGGTTTCATCCAGTTTTCTGTTATAAAGCAAGTCACCCCCTTTCTCTGTTCATCCAGTTGCTAAGCAGCAGCTTTTCTCCCCATTAGCCAGCCATGTATTTGCATGAAAATAATCAAGCTTGAATATATAACTGGTTTTAATCATGCACAGCTAAACAGCTGTACAATCAAAATTTGCGTATTAATAGTTTAGTTATAACCATAACTGATGACTGTCTTTTAAGTTAGAATTTCTCTATAGAGTAAAATCAATATAGGTTTGCCTTTTTTTTTTTTAACAAAAGGCACAACCATTTCTGTTTTTCCTTAATGCTTACTGTGTAGCTACTTAAAAAAAATTGGTCACAAAATGGTATCGCAGTTCACAGAAAAATTATAAATGCAAATATGAGCAGACACAGAATGATCTAGTGACTAAAGATGATGGGGGCCAAGGGAAGAGCCACATTTTTCAAATATCTAATTATAGTAGCAGAGTGCAACAGAATTTGGTGATAAATGTTTAGACTATGAGACAAAGGTAAAATTTCTAAAAGTACATCTTACTTTCAAAACCAGCTAAAGAATCTGTGTTTCAGTTCTTATTGATTTCAAGGGTGTTCGGTATTTCTGAAGTCTATGATCTGAAATCTTGGAGTGCTCTCTCAGTATGAGGGTGCCCTGGATTTATCCAAACTATATTTCAGAATAAGGGCTGAGGGTGACACATATTTTCAGGTGTTGATTTTTCAGATGACAGAAACACAATGCTTTTCTGTGCCCAGGGAGAAAACCTGGGCACACAGACCAGGAGTAATATATGAGCCATCCAGTTGGTGTCCTAACCTAAACAGTCAGATTGTCTTCATTACACAGGAAGTTTATTTCCCAATTTGCCCACAGACTAAGTGAATGAAAAAAGTCTAAATCTTCAGACTGAAATATTTGGTACTATGCCGTGTAGTTTTGGACTGCCAAACCTGTATGTACTTTGCCACGTATGACAATCCATAGTCTCATGTTAGATGTTCCTCAGATGTGACTCAGTGCAAGAAGTCATCCTCTTAGTCCGCAAAAGTGCTTCAGGTCCTAATTAATGAGGTTTATTTATTTATTTTCATTCTCAATTAATAGATATAGGCTAGGCAATAGGCTCTGAAGTGAAGTGCATTCAGGTTCTGTCAGCACCAGGGCAGTCACACATTTAATCAACAGCATTACAGCAACAGTGTCTTGTCACTAGAAACTTGATGGCAAAACTAACCTAGTTCTCAATTATGAAAATGTAAGAAGTATCAAAGCAGTCTTTTGACTGAGACTTAATAAACCTATCAGGGCAAGAATGGTGTCATGTGATTGGAAGGAAACAAATGTCTTTGAAGGAGAGCCCATGGAAGTGTTATGTGCATTGTGTGGGACATATGAAACAAATTGTAACATAGGGTGTGCAAAGGCATAGAAGCAAAAAAAGATATATGTCTTTGGTGTAGTAACATTAGATTTGTTCGGATAACTGTGTAATTTTTTTAATAAAATAATTTATTGACAAAGGAAATTAAGTCAATTTCACAGAATCACTGAATCATCAAGATTGGAAGAGACCTTCAAGATCGGCTAGTCCAACCATCATCCTAGCACCACCACAATCAAATTTAATCTTTACTTCATAAAATGATTCAGTATAGTAGCCTATGAGAAATGAAGGAGGATGCATAACATAAGAAAATCGCTGATGGGAAATTATGGTGGATTGTGTTGAAAAAAGGACTATAAAACTGGAAGTTGGCTACAGGTGGAGTCTGCTCGTTTAATGTCCTTAGTACAATGCTAGTTAGCATATAAATAAAAGTTGCTAGTAACCTTAAGCTTGAAGGAGAACAGCATTTTATACAAGATCCATAACTTTGGAGTTAAGGAAGAATAAAGAATATGTAAGCCTAAGAACAGTGTCGATGTAGAATGATGAGATATAAAGTGGACATTAACTTGCCATGAAAGGTTTCTAGCCAACAGAGGAATGAATTTATTCTCTCAGTGAAAATAGCAGGGCAGAGCATTCAGCAAGTTTTAATATGGAGATTGATGAGATTATGAAAAGGATTTTGTGATGTTTGCTGGTAATCGCATCTGACTGCACCTGATTATCAAATCTTCTAGCGGGATTGCATGTAGATCCCTGAACATTTCAATAGTGGGTTCCTCTAATCGATGCAGACAATTTAGCCATTAGGATAAATGAGTTTTCATCGTCATGGTACAAACCACATTGTATACCATAGATATTGCACGGGTTTCGGTATCAGAAAATCTCGACTGTATGCAAAATGCAGCCCTTTTACAACATGCATTGTGACCTCATGTATGTTCATATCTGTAAATGAGTTATGTATACAAATTCACATACATAATGTTTATATGAAAATGCAAATCACCTTTGAACATTTTTGTTTCCTGGGTCGTATGTGCATTTAGCAACTTATATTTCAAACAGAAGCTTTGATTGAAAGTTACTCAATTTTTGGTGTTTTTTTGTTGTTTGTTTTTTTTTTAAATAATGATTTTTTTTCCCCAACATTTTCAGGTCTTGCTGTTGCCTTGTATCGGAAAAACTTGTCACTGAATGTATATACAGGAAAATGCATAAGTATTCATGAAAATTGTATAAATTGAAATGTAAAAATTAATAAATAATTAAATGTATAACATTGTAGAACTATGCCATTTTTTAAAAAAATTGAGAAAGTGTATTTAATTGAGAAGCGACATTTGTAACATGTAAGAAAATGGACAGTAAGCACTTAATTGTAAAGATGAAATTCCAGATCTGCTCTTTGCTGACAGAATTCTACATGTCAAGAAGGGATTGAGGTTCCCTTCCATGCTTGGAAAATGACCTACTATCAAGAGTAAAATATTTATATAAGGAATTCGGTTTAGTGTAAGAACACACACATTGTTAGGGAACAGTTAACAGTATAATAATGAGTGATGTTTAGGGATTGTATGTATGACAGTGAGAATTCCGTAGATGAAATTTGATGAGGATGAATTAAGTCTTAGATAATTGAGTAGTGCTAAAGTAGTTTTTTTGAGTGCCATTGCTGAATCAGCATAATTTAAAAACCTGCTGTCTGGTGCTTCAGACTAATGACTATAGAAGTTGGGTATGGACTTAACAGAAGAAACAGTGTGTAATGACACATAACATTTCAACATTAATACTGTTTGTGGGATTGGTATGTTCAACAGTGTTACTGGCAAGTAGTGGAATATACGAGGAAAAGAGACTGAGCATTTGAATAGCTTTTTTTAAAAAGGTTAAAGTAATTGGTTTATTTTAACAAGAAAGCTACCAGTCCCTACCAAACTCTGAAATGTCTACTCCATACAGTGCAACTCAGGTACATGGTTTAAAGAATTGTTTTTCAACAGGCAAGTAAAACATAATTTTTCATATTCTAGTTCTGATAAACAGCCAAAGCATTTAGTTGAAACTCTCCAATGGGAAATATGTCTGGTGTGAAGAGAGTTAGTCTGAATGGTTCAAATAATAAGTAATTAGAAAGATGTCATAATGGAAAATTTTCAAGTACTATAACTGCCAAAAGCCCTATCAGTCTTCTATAACTTGTGTAGCAAAATATACATGAGTATGTGGTTACTATTTGAATTTTTGTTGTTTTAAAAAGGGAAATGTGTTTCTGTGAATGAATCATAGAAATGGGGCTGGATGGTAAGTAGTGAAAGCCATTTAATTTTAGATGCTATATTTTTTTCTGCCATGTAGTCCAACTTATGGGAGGCATTCCTCATTCATGCATCAGACAAAGTGAGAGAAGCCTCAGTGCAATATGTAGATCACAAACAGCCATCTGTTATCCAAAAGGAAAGAGGAGTGTTGCTATAAGAGTAAACTTAAAATGTTTTAAGATTAACTTAGAGATGGCAGAGCTCCATTAAATATTTTGTCCGTCTCTGTTGGTACTGGTCCCTGTCATATACGAATGTATACATTATACTGCAGTTTCAGATACCTGCTCTATTTTTTTTTCTATTAGGACAATTACCTCTAGTTTAGAACTCACTATAGGCTTTCTCTATTGTCTAAATTAGGTTCCTAGTTATGTCTGTGTATATATATATGTATATATATATATATATAT